AAAGTTTAAAATTACCCAGAAAAAGAGGAGACCAAGATTATTTTGTACTGAACCATTAGCAGAATTCATACATATGTCTGAGGGGAAGTGATTATTTATTTTTCATTTGTTTCTCTTTGAATCTATTCATAAGGTTTAAAAATAAAATTTTGACCTTGCAGTGAATACTTTTGTACTAAACTATTCTCTATATAATACCCTAGCATGCCCATTTGAATCTTTCCTGTCATTGACCACTATAAGATTACATTGATATCACCCAGTCTTACCATAAGTAATATTGATATGTTAATCTAAAATTAACCTAAAATCCATAGTTTAATATATTATCATTAAGTAAAAATATATAGCTTATCATTCAAAAAATACCTTTCAAGTAAATGCTATACAGAAGTACTACAAAAGATTACAAAAAAGCCTTAAATAAATATTATCACCATCTGTTTTTCTAGGTTTTTGTCCATTTGTTTGTTTTTGACTTAGGGCACATGCGCTCTCCAGAGAGACAGAAAGACAGAGAGGGAGAAAGTAGAAACACCCTCCAGAGAGGATGGCCATGCTGCAATCCCTTCTCCTCCTTTCTCCTTGGGATTTTGGCCACACACATCCACCCATCTGGAGTATTTTTCAGGTCTTGAGGTCAAACTGCAGAGCTGGTCACATGGGATCTAGCTCCTTAACCACTGTGCCATATGCCAGCCCCAAGATTAATGATCTCTTGAGAGACTGAGTTTGGTCTTGGAGAAGGGCTAGTTCTTGCTCTCCAAAGAAGGGGTTAGTTCTCTGAGAATGTGTTGTTGTAAAAGAAAGATAGCTGTCCTTAGGTCCCTCTCTGCTCCTACCTGCCATGTTCTATTTCCATCAGCCATGTGGTGATGTAACCAATCTGATGTCCACCTCATACTTTCTTAAAGGTCACTAGCTATCATTTCCTAAAGGTCTCACCATCTCCCAACATCATTACACTGGGTATCAAATTCCAAAAACTAAACCTTTGGGGGACAAACCACTATCCAAATCACAACAGCCTTTAAAAGCAGAAAATGTATGTACCAATTATATCTATTTAAAGTTCTAATGCCTCTGAATTATATAATTGTTGCATATTTGGGTATTTGGTTCTATTTAAATGGATTAAAGTTACAGCCACATTTACTATTCTTAAGAGCAAACGAAGCTCTGCATTGCAGTCTGACTGCTCATCCATAATTCAGGGCCCCAGTCTAAAACATTATGCTCAAACAAGCACAAATATTGGCAAAGGGGAAATATTGAACTGCTACAGTAGCAGATAAATTATGTAGCAATCTGTGTGTATGCTTTAATTTCCTAGCACTAGAAATAAAAATTAAAGGCAGAAAAATAATCAACAGTATGGTTGTAAACTAAATAAGATAGTAAAGCCAAATTGCTAATATTCAAAGCTACATGCTCTTTATTGGTTGCACATGGATCTGAAACAACAATAAGAACCAAGAGTACAAAAAAATAAAAAACATTAGTTACTCATTATCTATCCATGCAAAAGAAAAAAAAAAGAGAAAACAGAGTTTCAGGAAGAAAGTTCTCACGGATTTGGATTTTGAAAATAGCAACTATGGTTCTCTTTAAGTTAGTAGAAATGTATTTTCCTCAAGTAAATTTTTCACTTGTCTTGATTATCTGGGCAATAGTGCCAGCTCTATAATTATTAGGACCTGGATTGCTTATTTGGAGGTTCCAGCAGATAAGCAAGGTTACTAAATACCCTGGACAAGTGACAGGTCTGTGTCTAGGGAGGGTGACTCCTGTTTGGGCTCAGAGCACCAATAAGAATACACAATGAGAACTGAGAGCAGGAGGTTCCATTTACCAGCTGAATCAGCAGAATTCACCCAGCAGATCAATGTGTTAACAGATACACCAAGAAGATCACCTTTACCTCCTGCCATTTCACTTTGCTTTCAGGGACACAGGCTGGATATGTTGCATTTTTGTGGTTGCTCATACTGACATTTTGCAGCCAACAATAATTTATAAACATGAAGTACTTGATGCCAAAGGCTAATGAAAAGTGTCTAGTGCACAAGAATGCTGTCCTCAATTTATGGCTTCCTGTTCTAACTTTGTTAGGTACCCTTATGACTAGTTATAATTCTTTCTATTATAGAAGGGGAAACAATCCCTATAATTAATATAGTCATGACATTACTAATTGTATAAAACACAGACTATAGACTAACGTTTCCAAAAGTAATTGACATTGCTTGAAAAATTTGTAAAACAAAATTTGCAACAAATTATCAAGCTGTGACTTCTCAACTAATTTTGTTCCATAATTAGCTGAGTAGTATTTGTGGTTTTAAAAGCCTCGTTAGTACGGTATCTCATTGAACTTAACAATTCTGAAGGGCTGCACCAGTGAGACAAGGCCACATTTTGCAAATGGTGCACATAGATACATGAATATTCAATAGGGTTTACACATCACAGATCTAGTGTGGGAATGGGAAAGCAAAGAGTTTCTAGCTCTTTGTCACACTCCATACCTTTCTCAAGAGAACCACTTACATCAACTATAAAAACAACAGAGACCAGCAGATGGCAAAACATTTACATAACTGGACTCTCATGTAGCAGACCACGGTTTGAGTCCCAGACCTGGCAGCTTAAAACACCCCAGACACATGTACATGTATGCCCAAAAGCCCAAGAGGGGAATGGAAGAGAAGGGATTGCAGCGTGGCCATTTCCTCTCCCTGTCCTCCCCCTCCCCCCAGGGGGAATTTCTCACTTTCTATTTCTTTGTCAAGTACACACACTCTGCAGCAAAATCTCTTTAACAACAACAAAACCAAGGCATCAGTAATCTTCAGTATCCTCTCACCCCTAACCATTGCTTTAATAAAAGGGTTTCCATTCCAGTCAACATCAGAAATAAGACTAGAGTGTTTGTAGGACCACAATCTTGTACTGACTAAATACTTTCAAATTTTCTCTTTGCAAATTAAATATGATACCTTTGGTGCTAGGAAGTCCCAACCAGAGAATTTTGAGCCTTTGAAAAAGTTCTAAGCTCTATACTCAGCAAGGATCTGTTCTTTTACTTAAGAAAGCTCTCTCTGGCATGACAAGTAGGATCATCCAGCAATAAACAGGACACAAACAGCACTCACCCCATAGCATCAACAATCAGCCCAAGCAGCTCCAACGTGAAGGGCTTCACTTGACTACAAAATCTCTAAGTCTGCTTGGTGGTCTCTGATCAGATACGAAGAAATTCCCAGTGCCATGGATCACCTGATTTTCTAGTTATGAGCATGTTCTGGGCCATGAATACCCAGATTTAAGAGTTTTGATCTATGTTTTGAATGTCAAAGATGCTCAGTTGGAAATGATTGCTACGCACATTGAACACATTATAAGCAGGAACATGGGTTCATGACAGATGACCAGGACATCTGTGGCACAAAGTCATAATGACTACTTGTAGGAGATATTCGAACATCAAAAACTCATGTTGCTTAAGCTCTTTCAATGAAGACGAGAACAAAATCCTTTTATATTTGGATTTTTAAGTCATTACTATTTTTTAATTGCTAGAGGGCATGTGTGATAGCCAGAGACAGAGAAGAAGACGAAGCAAACCTCCATTAATGGGGCATCATCATGCTACAATCCCTTCTCGATTTCTCCTTCCTGTCGGGATTTTGGATATGTATAAATTTTAGGCATGTACGTGCATGTACCTGACATGACTTTCAAGCTATGGGGCCAAGATTTGAACCTGAGACAGTCATGCAGGATTTGATTCCCTTAATTACTAGGTTAGAGGGTTGATTCCTCAATTTGGATAATTTTATATCATAAAGTATACATTTAAATACTACAAATAGATTACTAGGATTATCACAATTAAGGAATTTTTGAAAAATGAATGTTATAAAAAAACTACAGATTTTGAACATTTTTCCACCAAAATAATTTTGTACTTTAATTCCATTTTTCCATGAACCTCATATTTTCATCTGCCTACAGGTGACAATTCTATTTTTATGATTCAATGAATATACCGATTTAAAGCAAATTGACAGTTAGGATTTCACCTATAACATCTCACTGTTAATTATTTTGCAGGAAACAGTTTGCCTGGGCCAGCAGGTGGTGTGGAGGTTAAGGTGCTGGATCCCACATGGCTGGCTGTGTGGTTAGAGTCCGGGATCCGGCAGCCTGAAACTCATGCTGTGTGTGTGTGTGTGTGTGTGTGTGTGTGTGTGTGTGTGTGCGCGCGCATGTGCGTGTGCCCTATGCATGCCCAAAATCCTGAGAAAAGAATGGAGGAGGAGGAATTGTGGAATTGTGGCGTAGTCATTCCCCCTGGGGGTGGCCTTTCTGTCTCTCCATTTCTCTCTGTCTCTCCAGTGAGCACACACACCCTATAGCAAAACTCTCAAAGAAAATAGTTTGCTTAGGAAAAAAAGCACCAGCAATGGGTACTGTATGTGTCTGTATGCTTCTACTAACCATTAACATTGTCGTGTCATGTCATCTGTCTGGACTTCTTTTGCCTCATTTTGCTTAAAAAACATGTAGGCCTTTATGTGTTTTCTCATTGGGATATGCTGCTATTTACATAACTGACAATAGCATGTAGTGGTTTGTCATGATAACCTTAACAGGCACTGACCAGAATTGTACTATCAGGGGCTATTGAAGGACAGCATCTACACATTTGGCAATGATTGAATTTCCAGGAGGACACTGACTAAGGTCACAATAATGCAGTCACAAAATCACAAAGAGAGCTATATCTTTGTCTTCTTTTTCTACATAGAGAAGATAGCTTGGATTCATTTGAAAACACTGGAATCGAAGATGTCCATTGTACTGTTTGTTTAAAGTTTCATAAAACTAAATAGAAATCCAAGAAAGTTAAGCAGATTCTGAGTTAAGTTGGTATTTGAATTTAAAAGTCTATTCAAGAACAACAAAACAAAACCCCTGAAGTTCCTACATCTTACCTTGCAGCCTCTGCATCACGTTGGCAATGTCCCGAGGAGACCGTGAGGCTGCTCTGGAGGTTGCCATGGTCCCTCCTGTAGCATAAAACCAGCCCCTGAGACTTCACCTGAGGCAGTGCAGGACTATGCCACTCTACAAAACATCCTCAGGCTCCTCTAGAGCTATTGAGTCTGAGTGAATGCCAGGCACTTGCAACAGCAGGGAGGAGACAGCAATCCCAATGATCGAACCACTTCTTACTGTAAGACAGTTCTCGGAAAGGAAACAAGAACCTGTAAAACAAACAAGAAATGTCCAATATAAAAGTCAAATCTACACAGGTCATCATAATGCTCAAAGGAAAACTCTTCCTATTCAATTTGAACACCTAACTAATGTGAAAAACACTGACAAACTATAACGTACTGTGTGAATGTTAGTGATTCCTGTATTTAATAAAATAGATACATAAATGAGACTTACAAAATAACATTGGCTGCTTAAAGGAGAAATGTTCATTTTTATTCCATGCTTTCCTTTTTTTTAAGGAATTATTTTTATTTAATTTTATTTATGCATTCATTTATTTTAATTTGACCAGAGAGAGACAGAGATAGACAGAGAGAGAGAGAGAGAGAGAGAGCAAGCCACCAGGCCCAGGACTTGAACTGTGGTTGGCCACGTGGGAGTGTCCCACACCTTAATCACCACACCACCTGCTAGTCCCCTCCATGCTTTCTTTTTTATTTTAATTTTGAAGTTTATTTCTTTCATGAGAATGGCAGACAGAGAAATGGGCAACCTCAATAGGGTTTCAGATTGCAATAACCCCAACTGCCTTCCCAGCCAGAAGGGTAATAGACAGTCTGCAAGGGTGTAGAGGCTGACTAAAGAACCAAAACCCGAGATCTACCCTATGGATCCAGCATCACTTCCATAGCACTTCACCACCGCACCATTGACCTGGCCTTCTGTGTTTTCTTTTTAAATTTAAATTTCCTCCTTTGATCTATGAAAGCATTCTATGAATCTATGAAAGTACTCAAAACACTAAGTTCTACTTCTCAGTAGGCCCCGATTCTCTTTGCTGTGCTATTTTACCTGCTCTGCATACACATTTTGCTCCATTTTGTTATACACTTTCCAGGAATAAGATCAAATCCTAGCTTCTAATAGCACATTGATGAATTAAAAGAGTAAAATATGCAAAAACTATTTCACTCTAAAAATTTGAGTTTCACAATAAGTTTAGAAGTCAAAATGGGTCCCTATAGAGAAAGATTCCAAAGTAAGATGGAGAAAGGGTGGGCTAAAAAGAAAAGACATTTTCCTCCTAACCACTCCCTGAATTCTCTGGTTGGGCAAGTGAAATTGACCACTCTGGATTGAGAGGTTAAAAAAAATAGAAGGGTTATGGATGACATCTTGATATTGAGAAATATACTTTGAATAATAATTTCCTTCTCTAGGGTTAGCTGAGGAAAAGTCTTTCCATGAACAGGATAATTAGAAAGAAGGGGGGTGGTGAATTACACACCCAGAAAAAGAGACTTAACCAAGGGGCCATATCGAGGAGGCCCATGTGAGAGTGAGACTTCATTACAATTCACACTACATCTCTGTATTATGATGAGAAAGATGCAAAAAAAAAAAAGAGAGAGAGAGAGAGAGGGAGAGAAAGAAGTTTGGAAGTCAAAGCTCTAGAGAAAACACAGCATATTAATATAGCCTGGCCAATCTGCCAGAAGGTAATGGGAGTCTATGTGTGTCGTAAAAAACTATATTATAACCTGAATATATGGGCCATGAAAAGGTATTTTTTATGAAGGATTGGTTGGGTAATCAAGCAAAATTACAAGGCACAGTTGATTATAAAGTGGCATTACTAACATTAGTATATATTGGTATTTAGTCAGAATGCATAAATGCAAACAAAGCTGATAAGATCATTTCTAGATAGCCATCCACAAAAAAAAATTTAAAAAAGAGATGCAAAGTTTACACACTGTTACTGTCTGTATTGAAAAAAGTTTCAAAAGAATGTACTGGAGCAAGAAGGCGTCACTACCTGCTCACTTAGCATGTTAGGGACAGAGATGTGGAAAACAGCATTAATTGGTAATTGGTAAGAAGATAGAAACAAACTTCTCTCAGACTCTTGAAAGGTATTTACTAGAGGTAGGACCCAATTCTTGGCATCTTCTTGGCTACAGAGGCACCTCTCAAAGAGATTCTCAGAGGAGAAGTAATTACTTGTGGCTGGGCTGTTGCACATTAATACCCACTTTAATAGCCCTGCTGGAATCATGTGCCCGTTAGCAGTCTATATCTCCTTGGGGAAAATATTACACCTGCCCACACACAAAGCCACCTTCGCTTTGGAGACTAATAGCAAGAAGTGCCTAAGGGACCTTTCTCTCTCTTTTTTTTGGAGAGGTTTTTTTTTTTCACTATAGGGCGCGTGTGCTCGCCAGACAGACAGAGAGAGACAGAGAGACAGAAAGTGAGAAATCACCCCCCGGGGGGATGGTCATGCCGCAATCCCTTCTCCTCCATTCTCCTCTTGGGATTTTGGGCATGCACACACACGCACCCGGCGTGAGTTTTAAGCCACCGGGTCCAGGACGCGAACCGCGGTTGACTACGTGGGAGTCCAGCGACATAGCCATTACACTAACTGCTGGTTCCCCCTAAGGGACCTTATAAATGACTCCTCTATGCTGTTAAAAAGTTAGGTTCTCTGAACACAAGAATATAACGTTTTAAATCTATCAATCTCTGTATCTATGTACCAATCTTTCTATGTATCTGCATATACATTAAGTAGAGAGGAGGAACGAAGCCCACTAAAATCCAGTCACCCCATTCAGGCCCTGCTCTGCTCTAGAGTTCACAGATGGCTGACCTGGCCCCGCCTTCAGTCAAGGCTTATGGAATTAAAAGGGATTTCTCTATGTCATTGCCTCACAAATCACCCTGCATCTACCCTCTTCTACTTCACATTCATGTCACACAACGGAATAATCCTGAAATCCCCCATTCTCTCTCTGTCTCTCACCACATTAAGCTCAGAATTTCCCTGCTTGTACTTGGTATGTACCCAGCCTGCACACAGCATAAGTATTACGTTGTTCACACATTTTTGCATAGACAAACGCTAAAAAATGATACGTCATGACTTTCCAGACAACCCAATACTACATTCTGCGGAGGGCTTGAGCTGAATGCTGAGCTTACTAAGAGAGGAATATAACCCAGGCCGTTTTTTGTTTGTTTGTTTGTTTGTTTTTAGGGCCTTTTTTTCTGTTCTCTCAGGACAGAGTGGAGCATACAGCATAGAAATGGTACTAACAAGTGGCTGGGAGAAGTGCAAGTGCCAGGACAGAAAGGTACAGAGGATGGAGGCTAAGCCAATTTCAAGGTTTGGGAAAATCATCCTGAAAAAAGCTAATACCTAACCTGAGTCTTGCTAAAGGAATTAGAATAAGCCAGGTGAAAGATATGAAAGGCATAGTCCAGGCAAAGGGAATAGCTTGAGCAAAGGCATGGATATGGAAAACATGATTCTTACGTGGAACTATCAACGGTTTGATACCAGATGACATTCTGAGCCCAAACTAGCCACGTGGTGGAGGATCCTATGTGCTATGACCAGAAGCTAGGTCTTGGTTTTCTCCAGAAGATAACAGAAAATAAGGAGAAATTTTAGGCTGGAAGTGAAAAGGTATCATTTAGGTTATTCTAGCTACAGTTTTCAAGAATGTATTTAAGGAAGTCCATACTGGAAGACCTATAAAGATGGACTAGAAAAGTATCTCAAAAATCCTGGCAGACATGATAAAACGCTAGAATATGACATAGAAAGCAGAGTGGTAGGAGGGTAAATCCAGTGGAACTTTTTCTGTTGTTTTCTCTTTCTTTGTAGGAAGATTTTTGCTATAGAGCGTGTGTGCTCATCCAAGAGATAGAAAGAGACAGAGAGATATAAAGTGAGAAATCCCCCCCTCCCCCAGGAGTGACAATCCCTGCATCTCTTCTCCATTCTCCTCTCAGGATTTTGAGCACACACACACACACACACATGCGCCTGGCATGAGTGTTAAGCTGCTAGGTCCGGGACTCGAACAGTAGTTGACTAAGTGCGAGTCCAGTGAAGTAACCATTAAGCCATATGCTGGTCCCCAAGGAACTTTTAGGAAGCTAAATCAGTGATACTTAGAATTAGGAATTGGCAGCTTGAAAAACACACTGGATGCATGTGTGCACGTGCCAAAAATCCCGAGGGGAGAATGGTGGAGGGTGGCGACTTCCCAGTGTTGAAAAGGAAGACAGAGGAGTGAGTCTCAGATGACTCTCAGAGTTTGTGGTGCCATTCACTGAGCTCAACAGAAGGGAGGTGACACAGGTGTTTCTTCCTCATACTCCTCATTTCATACCGTCCTGTGGGGCAATTTCTTCAAATCCCCTTCACATCACTGCCCTGTGAAACATTGCCCGCTGAACAAATGCAAAGCATGATTAAGTATACAACCTAGGACTCACCTCCCGCTTGAAGCCACCCCCAAACACACCAGCACAACTTCAGCATTATCTTCTTTGATTCTTCAAGCACTAACCACCTGTGCAATGATAGCAACCTTTGTGCTCCCTATTGGGCTCTCTGTGAGACTTCTCACTCTTCACTGTCATAGAGACTATAATTCTTATTGCTTTAACATCTCACCTACTGATACCAAGAGTATCTCTGAGTACATCCTAGACCCTTGCTACATACTTTGGTTTCATTGAATCAAGTTCATAGAAAATTTTACTTGTATGAGACAACCCCCCCCGGGGGGGGGGACACCCTTCCCACTGCAAATGAACTTGGTGCAACATCCTTCCTTTTTTAGACATAAGATAAAACTTTTTGCTTTCATCATCCATGTATACACATATTTCCTATATTGAGAAATTTTTTTTCTTGCCTTTTACTGGTAATTTAACTTAGTATCACATGATTTGATAAGAAATCACAAATTAATAAAAAATAATATTAAAAGGAGACTAGGATTAGGAAATAAGTTTTAGGCTTAGCTTTGTCCCAGCTATTTGAGTGGCTTGAGCTGGTTCTATGTATAGAGATCCTCAACAATCTCCTGTCAGAAACAGTGTGATACCAGGAAATGTTTAGACTCTAGACTAAGAAAGATCTAGAGCTGAATCTTAATTTTGCTTCTTATTGTCACGTGACTTTAAGAATGGTAACATTTTCTAAGTGGTTGTTTCTTCATCTATACAATGAAGTAAATTTGTTAAATTAGGCTTAATATTATTTTTCTTAAAGTTGGGGACCAGCAGTTAGCGTAATGGCTATGTCGCTGGATTCCCACGTAGTCGACCGCGGTTCGTGTCCCGGACCCGGTGGCTTAAAACTCACGCTGGGCGCGTGTGCGTGCGTGCCCAAGATCCCGAGAGGAGAATGGAGGAGAAGGGATTGCGGCGTGACCATCCCCCCTGGGGGGTGATTTCTCGCTTTCTGTCTCTATGTCTCTCTCTGTCTGTCTGGCGAATGCACGCGCCCTACAGTGAAAATCTCTCTCAAAAAAAAAAAAAGTGAAATTTGAGAAGATAAATGTGTAATGTTTCTAGTAGATTGTTTGCATATCATACAGCTACAGCAGATAACTAGTTTTCATTTTCCTTTGCCTGGCCTCAGTTTCTCTTTCTGTGATATGACAGATGGCCTTAAAATGGAGAGCTATTCCTGAGTGAGCTTGTCATTTTCAAATCAGTGGCAGCACAAGTGATAGTTAAGACAAATCCTGGAGCAAGGCCATGAGATCCTTGAACTGACTGATTACTCAGCAGTTTTGGTTGTGGACAAGACCTAGAGAACCAGAACACCAGAGGATGATCCTGAAGCATCAATGAGTTTACTCTTCCCAGGGTCATTAAAAGAGTTTGGAATAAGTACAAGATGTCATGGGTGGGATTGAGAGAATGAGGGTGAGCTAGGCATTGGAACAGAAAGGGAGAATGAGGTAGACACTGATGGACGGTCTGCACCATCTCCAGATCTTTTCAGGGGAAGGAACTAAGTTTACAATGCAGCTAAATATATCCACTATATGTAGCAGAGAGTTAAGATTTCTATTGTTTTTATTTCACAGCAAATAAGCATTCAGAAACTGTTTGTAAAGGACAGTGACTGAGTAAATAGCAGTGAATAGGACAGGTAAGCCTCTCTTCGAGCTTATGTACCAGAGGGGGAGATGACGGAACAACAGAACAACAAATACAGTGAGTGCTGTAATGGAGAGATCCAGATGGAACACCCAACCAGCCACCATCTGCAGCATCCACTGTGCAGGATGCAGAGGGAATTTATAACGATCTGTTATTTGGGGTTCTGCTGGCTGGATGGCATGCTCTCCTGGACATTAATACTGTGAAAAACACAGTTGTAAGATATCAAAACTCAGTTTTCCATGTCTCTAAGCCTAATGGATAATTGAGTACTAAAGCAGTTTCTTGTTTATGTTACTCAAAGGGATACATTACAAAAGGCACTTCAGGAAAACCACTACTAAGCCTCAAGATTCTATCTTAAAGCAAGACAATGAAATTTTTTCTTGGCAAAAGCCAGAAATGGCATGGCTCATTTCAAACTAAAAAATGAACTGAGACCATAAACATGTACACAGAGTCACAGCTGTATGAAATAGAGATATTAATTCATTAAATGTCTAAACATGCACAAGAATAAGACCAATACTCAAATTCGCTATTAAACAAAAAAATGTAAAACCCATGAAATTACAATGCTTCCTTCACTAAGTCTTTCGATGGAGTAAGTTCACATAAACACCTACATATAAATTTAATCATTTTTCTCTATCCTCTTAGCAATGACTCTTATTAATAAACACTAATATGGCTAAAAGGAAGGGAAGAAGGGGGATATCCTGAGTTAATATACATATATCCCTATGTGTGCAGGTTGTCAGTGAATAATGGTGTTCATGATTCATTGCTACGCATTTTACAGGGTAACCATAAGAAATGATCCTTTCCCTAGAAGAAGAAGAATATGAACAAGTTATCAAAAGACAAAGTATAGAGCAGAACAGAATGAAAGATATTAAGTATCATGATTCATTTTTTTCTTTTCTTTTTGGTAAGCCTGAAATAGGAATTATATCCAAAGATATCTGCTACCTTTATTCCATACTTTGCTAAAGTATATATTGCACTCCATGTCAAACATTAATTCACATTAGATTAGACCTCAAGGAAGGGCATATTTAAGAGGAGGAGAAACACAGACTTGGCAGCGGAGTCTTGGGCCCTGCATGCCTGTCACATTCAGACCACAGGGTGTGGCTACAGTAGCGAGTGCTGTGGCTGTAAAAATGCCACAACTATGCCCAGTTACAGGCTGCTTCCATCCTGTTAGTCACATCTTTCAATTTGCAAAAGCTGTCTGTGCTGCATACTTATCAGAGAAAGACCCCAGTGAAGCACCACGCCATTCCTTGGAAAATGTTAAATAGTAAGCTAGCTTTTCCCAATCCCCACTCCCTGGCAGGAAGCAATCAAGTGAAAAGAATTCTTATAAGGGATCAATGAGGACTGAAGCAGAGCAGTTTATGAAAAATCATTAGTTAAGAAAGATAAAAGTGAGGATACGATGTAAGAGCTGAGTAAATATTTTTCAAATGCTAGTAATATTATTATCTGGGTCAGTCTGAAGATGTTTCCTTATCTTCAACATGAAACATATTAAGTTAGCATTGATATGGCACAGTTTGTTCTAAATCTGACACAAAGTAATGAAAAGACTCAAAAATACAAAAAAAACACATATAAGCATTTTTATTTCACTGTTAGGAACTTTAAAAAATCCATACTATTACTCCTTTTTTTTTTTTACCTTTTATCCTGGAGAATAAAAGGCCTCTTAAAGGACAACCTTCATGACTCATGACTCAATCAGCATTTTATGCAAATGTAGGTCATATTAACAACCTTTGCTTGACTGAAAGTTGCTATACTTTCTCTTTCATAGGTCTAGTTGCTATATACAAATTCTGTCTTCAGAAAAGTAGATCTCAGATCAGACAAAAATATATGGGCAATTTAAAAAGAGAAAAAGAATTCATTTTGAACTTTCTTAACATTCACAGCAAAATTGCAGATGCATACAAGTTTTCCACCCCAGACTGAAAAGCTGAGAAATGAACATTCCAGGATGCTAAGGTTCACAGCTGTTCATTTCTCTCAGAAGAGGGCCTGATCGTCCAGTCTTGAAACCCTGTTATCTCAGTCAGCACACCCAACCTCCTTTCTCAAGGGGCTTTCCTTCCTGTGCGGCTGAGGGCTTCTTCATTTTGCACCGTATTCCTGCCCTTTGCAATGCACCTGCCCCTGTGAACCACCATTTCCCAGAACTCCTAGAGCGGAGATGTAAAATCTCTGAGCCCCGTCTTTCTGGGGAGGAGATGAAAGTTATTTTGCCCTCTAGTGTAGCTCTGCCTAGAAGCAACTGCACCATGACAGCGCGGGAGGAGTCTGCGGCGCCAGGCCTCCCAGCGTCCTCAAGCCTTCTCTGTGCTACCGATTTGCCCTCCCCTAGGCCTTCCTAAAATAGTCGGGGTGGAGGAAGGGAGGCTCCTAGAATGTGTTCAACGCCCTAATCTCCCATCTGATAGTATCAACAGTACCGACCGTCACAATCGGAGGGTGGCTGTCTTTTGGTTCTGCATCACTGGAGCCCAGGGGATGTGCCACAGCGGAAATGACAGCTCAGAGCGGGGATATTAATAGGGATATCTACGTACGAGTTGCACACAGGCTCTCCGAGCTCCTGATTTCCTTACCCACGAGTAGCACACACGTACACATCACGGCCGCCGACACCTTCTCCCTCCCATCCAGTACGCAGAGCCTCAGCGTGCAAGCACAAACTTGCCTGCAATTTCTCTGCGATTTGTTCGCCTTGCGACTCTCTCTCCTCTCTCTGTATGTCTCTCTGTCTCTGTGCTGGCTCTTACCTACTCTCTTGGCCTCGTTCAGGTTGTCAGCTGCAAAGGCGAGCAAGCAACCGCCTCCTGCCGGCTTGCTGCGCCGGAGCTCGGCGGGACCGCCAGTGTGCGCTGCTGTCCGCCCGCGAGCCCTGTCGCCGGGGCTCGGGGCTCAGGCTCGCGCGCGGTCCGTAGGGCTGCAGGGCGCCTGGCCGCCCTGGTTACGGAGGACAACACTCCCAGCCCGGCTCGCTCGCCGGGTCTGGTTCGCACACACTCCTCTTGCGCCCGGCAGCTCCGAGGCTCTCCCCTCCCTCCGCGATCGGTTCCTCCTCCCCGCTGCACTCTGGGGGGTTAGGCCTCCCCCTTCTCCCGCCCCCCGCAGCTGATGCTTCTGAAGGAAAGGAAGGTCCACCAGGCGGGTCAGCCTCTGGGCAGGGGCCCAGCCCAACCCCTGGCCCGCCACACCCCCTCCCTGCCCGGTCCCCAGCGCCCCGCGCCATTCCAGAATGCGCGGTCCCTGGACAAGCTGGGGACGGGGACCTGCCGGCCGGCTCGCAGACTGCCCTTACCTCCTGGAGATGCCTGGCCTCCGGCGCTCCTCTGCAGCTGTCGAGCCTTTGCACCCGGTCCACCACCCGGGATTGCGGTGGGAAGGAAATGACCAGCCGCGCCGGGACCTGCTGCCTGCGGTAGCCGGAGCCGCTAACTTTTGCCCAAGGTTTCTGCCGCCAGGTTGACCTGTATGAGCAGAGCCGGTCTCAAGAAGGGTTGGGAGGTTCCCTGATGGGCCCAGGAAGGACGTGATGCAGCGCCAGGAACGCGCACCGCTGGCTCCTTTCTAATCAACTTCCACGAGGCTCCTAACAGCTGACCTTTTGACTGCCAAATGAACAGCAAGTAACTTCATTTGAGGGATAGTGGTCAGGCTTTACGCATTTTTGTTTCTGTTGTTTATGAAGCTTTGATTTCTTGAGAAGGCATTTTGGCATCTTAATCGTATTAAGTCTTGATTGTTTTATTCAGATGTTGACAATGAACACCTTAACTTCTCCAGTCGCACCCTATCCGTCCTGGTGTGCCTTTTATCACAAGACTTTCTTAGGGGGCAGAACCGACCCTGGTGTTGCCTAGTAGCTTCCGGCAGAATTAATTCTGTTGTGGTTTTATGGTTTCCAAGCAAAGTCAAACACAGTCTCTCTTCACCAACAACGAGGTCGGAGTCCAACAGGATTATTGCTAAACTAATTGAAGCTATGTTGCAAGAATCTTAAAAATAATAACTATCCCCTGGAATCTTCGATCTGAACAAAATATTTCTTCATGTTCTGAAATTGCTGAATATAAGAACCTGTTCATAAAGTAGATGAAGTTTCTCTTTGCCTCCTGCTCGCCCCTCATCTGCTGCCAAAATGATCAGTACTTAGTTTTCTATTTTCTCCTAATTCTCTTTCTTCTGGGTCCTATCAAAGTAATAACATCTGAAATTAATCTGGTTAAAACAACAACAACAACAAAAGTCTGTGGTATTTGCTTTCCCTGTGTTTACACCTTTATTTTATTTTTTATATATTAAAAAAAATCTGCTATAGGGCTCATGGACTCACTGGAGAGAGACAGAAACAGAAAGGGAGGAAGGGAGAGAGAGAGAGTGAGAAAGCATCCTCTCAGGGAAGATGGCCACATCATCATCCTTTCTCCTCCATTTTCCTCTTGGGATTTTGAGCATGCATGCACATGTGCCCAGCGTGTTGTCCAAGTTGCTGGGGCTGAGATTAGAACCATGTAGTCAGCCGTGTGGGTCCAGTCACCTTAACCACCATGCCACAGGTTCGCCCTGTGTTTACACTTTTAGAGATCAAAGAATGAATCTTATGGCAGAACTTGATCCATGAGAATGCTGAGCCTGGAGGAGGGGGTGTTTCAAATCAATGCATTTCTGCCTCTAAGGGTAATGCCCATCATGGGTGCCCTGAGCTCCTTTAGAGAAGCCTCCAGTATCTGATCATTCTAGGTCAGCACTTTCTCCCCAGTGGCCATCAGTCTAGACTCCAGGCCTACCACAGGAGGAAAGGCTCCAATTGTCTCAGGTGTACTTCTCAGTCCCTACTGCCATATAACCAAGACAGAGTGAGAGATAGTCACAGACTTGGTAGTCCATGTGTTACACAGCTGTTTTATGAGGTTGACTCACCAGAGAAGTGAGCCACTTAGTACATAGGCCTGAAACAGTGCCCCCTCCAACTAAACGTCCTTCACTAGGTTTAACCTCTGTTCTCTCAAGCTCAGACAGGCAGTAGCACAGGAAGGGCTGGTTGGCTTTGGTTCCCTGTTGTGTTTGAACTTCCAGTCTCAGCTCAACTTTACCCTTCTCCATAGAAAAGCTAAACACATTTATACTCTTCAAAAGGGCTTTTTTCCCCCAAAATATCCTTGCAAAGGGTTATAGCACCATTTATTCAACAACCAAATTGTTTGAACAAACACCTACCATATTACAAATACTGTCCTAAAAATGAGTGTTGTGTTAAGTAAAGTCTGACCTGGTTTTTACCAGCACAGAGCATACAATATAATCATGGAGAGACATGTACTCATTCATCAAAGAACCACATGAGTACCTATAAAACTTCATTCTTTAAGAAAAGGCAAATGTTATGAGAGTTTCAATGGGGGTTAATCTGTTTCACAGATGAGAAAGACTTTGCTAAGGAAAGTGACATTTGAACCGTGATCTGCAGAGAAAATGGTATTAAGTTTGGTGAAAGGGGGTAGGGTGGGGGTCTTAAAAGTCCTCCAGACAGGGGCATAGCATGTGCACAGGCACTATGGAATGAAAGTGCACTGTGCCTTTGAAAAACTGAGGCCTGATATACCTGTACAAGAGAAAGAAAGGGAGGGAGCAATGAGGTCAGTGATGCTCCAAACAGAACCAAGAGCAAACTGCTCTGGCCTTATGCCCTGAAGAGATATGCTTTGACATTAAGCCATGCAAGGATGTTCAGTAGGTGGTACAAGATGATTAGATGTTTTGAAATGCTCTTTATGGTTATAAGGTGAAAAATGGACTAGAAGTGGGGCCAAAAGTGATGAAAGACTGTGTTGCAATAATCCTTTAGAAAAGTTCATGGTGTTGATTACTAGAGTGATGATGGTGGCAAAGAAGAGTGGGAAGATAAAACCTGCAGGGCTTAAGACCATGGGTGATGCTAGAGACCCAGTATTTATGTGCCCTGAAAGTCATATGTTGAAATATAATTGTGGATGTGTTTGTATTTGGAGGTAGGGTCTTTGAGAGGTGATTCACTTGTGGTTGGAGCCCTTGTGAATGATATCAGTGCTCTTATGTAAAAGAGACTGTGAGAGCTCTTTTGCTCCTTCTACTATGTGACAACACAGCAAGAAGGCAGTCATCTTTGAACAGGAAGTGGGCTTTCGCCAGACACCAAAGCTACCAGCACCTTGATTATGGACTTCTCAGCCTCCAGAAGCATGAAATATAAATGTCTATTGTTTATAAGACAAAGTCCAGCGACAAAGCCATTATGCCAACTGCTGATCCCATGCTCTCTCTCTTTTTTATTAATTCATAGTTTTGCTATGCTTTCTAGTCTAGCCTCAAATTTATAATTCTTCTACTTCAGCCTCCTGATCTTTGGGATTCCTGGCCATATGCTACCATGCCTAGATTTTAGGTCGGATTACCCAGAATTGAACCTGGGCCTCCTATGTAGTCCCAGCCTGTGGAACACAGTATCTTAGTACATACTCCAAGGCTTCCAGGCCTAAAGCATTAGACTTTTTTTTTTTTTTTTTTTTTAGTTTTTGCCATAGGACATGTGCACTCACTGGGAAGAGGCAGAGAGGGAGAGAAATCACCCCCTACCCCAGGAAAATAGCCATGTTGCAATTCCTTCTCCTGTAGTCTCCTTTCAGGATTTTGGGCATGCATATATGCATGATTAGATGTCTTGAAATGCTCTTTATGGTTATAAGGTGAAAAATGGATTAGAAGCATTATTTTCAAGTCATTGGGTTCAGGACTAGAACCACAGTCAGCCATGTGAGAATCCAATGCCTTAGCCACTACACCACCTGCTGGCCCCAAGCATTAGATTTTTAAACAGGAAAGACCTAGGTTTGAGTCTTGGCTCTATCATTAGCTATGTATGTGGGTTTTAACTAGTAATTTAACTGCTCATAAATTTAAATTTTACAAACCTACAATTCAGGACTACAGTATGTCTTATTCATAGGGCTATTGTAGAAGTTAAATGACCTAATATGTGAAAAGCACTTGGTGCTTCACTGCCTGGCATGTGGTCAGTAAGTGCAAGAGATCTACCTAGCATCATTATTTTGTTATAGTTATTATTACAATAATTCTTGATGAGTCTGAGTTTGCCAAGTGAAGGGAAAGTTGTCAGTCTCAACTTTACAATAGCCTGATTGAGCTAGGACACCAGTTACTGAGAATAAGACATAATCCCAGGACTCTCACAGTCTCAAAGATGGCACCAGGTTAGTCACCCGATTTGATTTCCTCACCGCTAGGCTCAAGACCTGTCCTCCTCATCTGTCTTCTTTTCAATCTCACTTTACAAAAAATGCATGCAATTCTCCTAAGTCACTGCATCGGGGTCCTCAATATCCTCTTTGTGCATTAACTGTAGGTAGCAAAGTGCAGTGAAAACCGATTGCTTTTAGCGTTATCACAATATTGGAATCATTTTGTTCCATATATTTGTAAAAAAGGTCATCATGTCCAAATGAAATCAGTAAATAAGCATTCCTATTTCATGTAATTGTATTTAATACCTTGGAAAAAACCTCCATAATTCAAATACATTATTGATTTATCAAAAGCAGCAGCCCAGGGCTGAATTTTTTTTTTTTTTTTTTTGGAGAGGTTTTTGTTATAGGGCATATGCGCTCGCCAGAAAGACAGAGAGAAAACAGAGAGACAGAAAGCGAGAAATCACCCCCCAGGGGGGATGGCCATACTGCAGTCCCTTCTCCTCCATTCTCCTCTCGGGATCTTGGGCACACACATGCCCAGCGTGAGTTTAAGCCACTAGGTCCAGGACTCAGACCACGGTCCACTACATGGGAGTCCAGCGACATAGCCATTATGCCAACTTCTTATCCTAGAGAGGTGAATTTTTACATACATGAGTACTTGCAACTCAGCAAGTCGGTCTCTTCTCCTATAAGTCTCTCCAGAACCAGCTTCCTATGCACCATGCTATGAGAATCTAAAGTTTTGCTTTATAACTCTTACTTTTTAAATGTAAAGGGGTATTGTACCGGTCAGGGTCTTGATGCAGTCAAAAATGTTCTGACTTTTTAGGTTTCAGGGAATTTGGGGAGCCTCTTGCTAAGTAATGGCCCCAAATAGTGCCAACGCCGTTTCCAAAAAGGGAAGAAAAGATAGGATATTAATTTTCTTCCTGGCAAAGAAGCCTCCAGAGATTTTGGGGTTCAAAGTACTCAGATTCACCCAAATCCTCCAAAATGCCCCTTTTCCAATTCTCAGAGTCCAACCTTACAATAAGGCCCTTAACTTTCATGTAAGACATTAGGGGCAAGCAGATGGGATAGTGGTTATGTTGTTGGAGTCCCACATGGCCAACCATGGTTCAAATCCCAGACCCAGTGGCTCAAAAATCACGCCAGGTGTATAAAGGTGCATGCCCAAGATCCCAGGAGGAAAATGGAGAAGAAATTGCTATGTGGCCATCCCCCTGGGGGGTGATTTCTCACTTTCCCTCTCACTGTCTTTGTCTCTCTCTAGCAAGTGCGCATGCTCTAAGGCAAAAACCTCTAAAAAATAACTAATCTTGAATTAAGCTTGTGCTGTCATTTTGTGACTGTAAAGAACAGATCTTAGGCAGGATTTCTGGCTAAATGACCAATGCGGCTGCAAGGGTAAGTATCCTAGAAATTCTCTGGTTCCCTTGACCCAAATTCCTGAGCCTGTCACTTTCTTATAGTCTCTGGTGCAATTGAAAGTAGCTGACACACCCATCGTCCTCATTTTCTTTTCCACCATGAGCTTGTACAATAGTAGTTAACTTGGTTTTCTGAGTTCTCCTTTTCACTAGGTCCTTAACTTCAGGTAATCGTGAGTGTTCATTTACACGACAGTGCACCACCATATGCCATGTCTCCTTAG